AATACAGTCGATCCCCCTATAACACTGTTGATAATTCCGTTTTATATAAATTCCATGTTGTACGAGTCACTTAGATTTTACAAATACGTGTGCCTGGCTGTGAACGGCTCACGTATTTGTAAAATCTAAGTGACTTGTACAACATGGAATTCATATAACACGGAATTATCTACAGTGTTATAGGGGGGTCTACTTGTATAAAGTTTTAATACAATTTTCAATGTGAGAAAGTAAATAAATATGAAGGTTAAATTAAAACAATATATGAATAAATCATTGCGTAATAAGTGTAGATACATTGCAATAACAAAATATTTTTTCATAGATTAATTAAAATTGTGAAATATTTCTTATCTCTTTCCGCGCTGTGGGCAATAAGAGGACTTTTTTCAGCCCCATCGTGTGTTCGGATAGATCCACAATAGGGACTTCCGAATGGTGAGGGACGGAGGCCGACATTATTCAATAATCCCGAATAATGTCGGCCCCAAAGACCCATTGCCCATGAAAAATTCCTGGAGTTGTTCGCCCGGATTCGATTTCTTATTGTTCAGAGCAATAGGCAGCCGATGGTATTTGAAAATTTGGTAAAAAAAACAAAAAAAGTCCAAATCCATTTTTAGTTAATATGGTGTGACCCACTGTATTAGAAAGTAATACAAGGTCTTATCAATGCCCGATTGTCCATTGATTACGTGAGGGGCCCAGACACTAGGAACAATTTCACAGTTTTAATTGTATATAATAATTTATAAATAATTCTAAAGTTAAAATTACACGTTATTAATTTAAGATGTGATAAAATTATATATAAGTGCCCAATCTTCTGTGTGTAGGAGTCACGGAAGGTCTTAATCTGTCACTGGGTCTGTTAGTCCGCTAAATGAAGTTTTACTAGGATAGTTTGCACTTTTAAAATTGTAATTTCAACGTGTGTCTATTGCCGAATATAAATAAAGTTTATTATATATCACTCTTTGTTTTTTTTTTTTTTATTCTAGTACTGGTGACATACAATGACATTTCGTGTTATTAATATAGAGCAGAGTTATTTTTGTACGTCTTAAGATAATTTTAAACAAAAATAAAGTATTTTTGTTTTTCTTTCAGCTGCAAAAAGGAAAAAAACAGCTACATTTGTACCAAAATTTTGTTTTTTTACGTACAGTACAGTACTAATCATTGGAATGGAGCAGTGGCGCGTTATAGTTCCATGGGGTCCAGGCGAATTTGAATTAGGTGACCCCACGTACAGTTTTGATTTCAGACATTTTTCTTAGGAAGAATATTTTGGGAGAAATTTTCTTATAAAAGATTGGTTTGGTGACCTCAGACAATTGCCTTTGTCTATGGGATGACGCGCCACTGGAATAGAGAATGTTAAATTAAACAGGAGAAGCCATAATAATGGCTATTCTTCTGTACACTTTGTGATTGCGACTATTGAAAAGGAACTCCGTCCGTATCATTATTTTTTTTTTTTCCACTGCTTGATACTGTTTTCTCCTTTCATGTTATCGGCGGAAGGAAAAGCAAATATATTTTAATCTTGACATGTAAAATGAAAATAATTTTTGCTTTGTATATCTTTGACATTGAATTGTTTATTTCCGCTATAATTAATAATAAAATAACAATGAAATCGAGGGATCAAGAATAGTGTCATGAATACAAACATATTAACTAACTCTTCATTATGATGGAAGCAAAATTAGTCAAGGACCTGCGAAGATTATTTCTGTGTCGATCTTAATCGTGCCTTGCATTATGTTTAGAAATATAAGTTTGTACGAATGTCCTAATAAGCCGGAACAAATTAGAAATAGGAAATTATTAAATAAATTGCTTCGGTTATGCAAACTGTAATTCAATGCGATCTGTCATTAGATGTCTTCAACCGAAATTGTATCTGAAATTCAATAGATTACATTATTATACCGATAATAGGCTGAATAACTAACCTTAATTTCTCTTCCTTAATTCATTGTAAATATATGTCAAAATGTTCATCGTGTAATCTGTTTTCTATGTAATAAAATTTTTATCAAAGGAAAATTTCCGTCGATATCTGTTACCATTCTCTTCTCTGTATCTATAACAATATCCCCCCTATAACATTGTTGATTATTCCATTTTATATGAATTCCATGTTGTACGAGTCACTTAGATTTTACAAATACGTGTACCGGGCTGTGAACGGCTCACGTATTTGTAAAATCTAAGTGACTCGTATAACATGGAATTCATATAAAACAGAAAAATGTATATGATACCAATTTACTGTATTCTAAACTTATAACAATTAGTGTAGTATCAGCTTCGTATACTATACAATTAAAATAAGCTAGTGTCGTATTATAAGAAAGAATTAAAAGTACAAGCATTGAACAATCTTTCTCTGATATTTATTCCTATACAATTTGCTGACAATATATTAAATATTTTAAGAGAAAACAATAAATTTTTAAAAAAGTATGTGAAAAAATATAGTGGCATTGTTAATACCGGTGGAGTTTATGAAAAATTATTAGATAAATAACAAAATGAGCCATATGTGTTATGGGTGTTGCTCATAATCTCATAATTTAAACTTGGTTATTGAGGACGGCGTCAGTAGAATTAAAGAAATAAACTAGTTGTTTTTGATATGTTGGAATTAGTTTATGTGTTTTTTTTAGTCAAAGCAATTATAGGAATTATTAACACCTAAAAATAGGGGCGAGTTTCCTATAGAAAATCCTCTCATGATGTCTTGAGTCACTTTACACCATCAATTCAATCACATCCTATTCCTTCATTCTCATAGGATATAAATAATTAATAAACTATTATTTTAGTAATAAGTGTCACAATAATTCGACTTCTACGAACAAGGTTGTAAAGTAAAGTATTACCCTTACCACTGTCATGTTTTCTTGTTAAGTTATATACGTTAAAACAAGTTTTTACAGTAACAGGTTTTCTAATTTAACCATCGAATTGCCAACGAAACAGCAATTTCTGCCTATTTACTGATAATGTATTATACAACGTGCAAAAGAAAACATTACCCCTCCTTCGTTACTATTTCAGTAGTGGAATGAACTTGACACTTTATATATTTAGATCGATTTTTAGTATTAAATAACGGACAGTAATTCAATAGTTTCATTAAATAACGAAGAAAGTCTGCTTCTAACTTACGTAACTAGTTGACATATCGCCTGGAGAATAAGTAAAATTTTAGTAAACCTAATTAAAAACGATATCTTTAAACTGGGCCAGATAATATAGGATTACATAGAGCCTATTTCGTCATAATTTTATAATGTTTGTGTAGATTAAATCTTGTTTATTTCGGAATTTTCAACTAGATATATGTGTCTTTAATTAAATATATATATAAAACTATTTAATTAACCTGCAATTTAATAATTTAGTAGCTTAGATTTATACTTTACGTAGGAATTATTTAGATTTATAACTTTATAAAAGAGTTAAAAGGTGCATAATTTTTGTAGAAAAATTCTGCTCACAATTACATTTATTATATAAATTTTAAGCTCACCAATTCATCATTTTATTCGTAGAAACATTAAGGTGTGTGTGGGGGGGGTAGCTGTCACCTGTCTCTATTTAAACACACAGTTCTCTGTCAGAAAAGTGAACGTTGATCCCTTCTATCGATGTGGACTTTTGCCATATCATCTTACACTGCGATAGGACGGTGTTAAACGTGATAATTTAAAAATCATGCTGTATTTAGACAGGAAGCACGATCCAACCTGGTGGTCTTTGAAATTAGACGACAAAGAATTGAATTTTTCGAAATGGAATTTCAGCAATGGACAGAAAATATGGGAACGAGTACCAGATTGGGAAATGGCAGTAAAAATTTTAGTGTGGTTACCCATCGCAATTGTCGGATTAATAGGAAATTCTACTATTATAATAGTCATGATTCGAATCAAAGCCATCAGAACGTGTACTAATTATTTTTTTCTCAATATGGCCATTGCCGATTTAATTACCATTTTGATATCTTCGTGGACGATTTTAATCATTGATTTCTATCAAAATTATGCACTTGGACCGTTTTTTTGCCGTGCTGAAGGAGCCATACAAAGTGAGATTTTAAACCTTTAACTTTGTAATAATATTTGTAATTTTCTTTTATGAATTCCATGTCTATTACTTATAATATAACCAGCGATAAGATAATTTCTATAGTAAATCACTTGCCACACTGATATTATTGTATAGCCACTCTAATTTGTTTTTTACTTCTTAAAAGAATTCCGCTTTTTTGTTCTCAAAATAGAAATGAAGTCATTCTAATGCATTGTTTAAAATCCACTATCATTAACCTAATTATCCATTTCTTCAAGCGTGAATTAATTAATATCAATGATCTTGTATTGCAGTCACATGTCTTCTATCAAGTGTATTCTCCTTGGTTGCCATATCGTGTGACAGATTACTAGCTGTGACCTTCCCTCTAATTCCTAGATTAAATAAGAAGAAAGCACTCGTTTTAATTATTTTAATTTGGTTAATTTCTTTGATAATCTCATCGCCTACAATCTTCAATAGATCGTGGCACACCAGACAATGGGCTGATTATCTAGAGGTAAAACATTAATAAAACATTAAAGAATGAAGGCTTTAAATAAATAAAATNATAAGACAAAAACCTTTCTGTATATAGGAACTATTGCCAAATCCTATTATTAGACGTCTTCTAGTTGACAGTATGAAATGTTGACTCATCTAAAAATATCTTAAAACTCAGTTTAAATATTATAAATTTCTTTTTCTTTTATTAAATTCAATTCATTTACAGTTGGCCATTGTCACCCTCACGTCGTACAGAAGGGAGCCGAACAGATGAGTTTATTATACACTAATAACCGATATCTTCACGATAATATTGTCGAATATGCCCGACGTTTAACAAGTTATTTTCCTAATAAACTTTCAGTCTGTTTCTTCGTTAATTCTGGGTAAGTTTTTGGTAATTTAAAATGATTATAAAGAATATTTAAATATTAATTTATGTTGCCATTTTAGATCCGAAGCCAACGACTTAGCATTAAGATTAGCCAGGAATTACACAAAACACAAAGACGTTATTGTAATCGATGAGTAAGTTATCTCCTCTTTTTTGGCGTTATATAAATTTAATTTAGTACTAATTTTTATTTTTTTTGTAGCGCCTACCATGGACATTTAACGTCAACGACCGATTTAAGTCCATACAAGTTTAAGAAAATCAGTGGAGGACATAAAAAATGGGTTCATGTGGTAAGTGGTATTGTTCCTCAGATTATGCAGCAATATGTAATTGTAAGGGGGAATAGAGAAAAAACTAATTATAAAAAATTTACAGGCTGACTTACCTTGTTCTTATCGTGGAAAATATACTAAAAATGAATATTCGGAAGAGGAAATAGGAAAATTGTATGCCAACGATATAAGAGATCTCATTAATCAAGTGCATAACAGAGGTAGAAATATTGCAGCATTTATTGCAGAATCTATGATCAGTTGCGGAGGACAAGTCATTCTTCCTAAGAATTATCTAAGAAATGTTTATAGGTTATTATTATTATTATTTTTTTTTTTTTAATAAAACTGTTTGTCTGTTTTGTTATCTTTTAATCTTATCAGCAATGATTCATAACTTTTAGATATGTAAGAGAAGCTGGAGGTATTTGTATTGCTGATGAAGTACAGACTGGATTTGGAAGAGTTGGGAAATCAATGTGGGCATTTGAATTACAAGGATCGGGTAAATATTAGTTTTTTAGTTAATATTTTAAAATTTATTTTTAATTTATTTATATAATTTTCTTTTTTTTTTTTATCCTTACATCTAGACATCGTTCCTGATATCGTAACTCTTGGTAAACCAATTGGTAACGGTCATCCCGTAGCTGCTGTTGTTACGACACCAGAAATAGCTAAAAGCTTCGAAGAAATAGGAGTTGGATATTTTAATACTGTAAGATTTTTAAATTCATTTTTTTTTTTACTTTTTAAAGGAAATTTTAAATAGTTTTAACATATATTAAACTACCATTTTTTTTTTATTGTGTACTTTACAGTACGGTGGTAATCCCGTTTCTTTAGCTGTAGCTAATGCTGTACTAGACGTTATTGAAAACGAATCTTTAATGAGTCATGCTACAAATGTCGGAAATTATTTATTAAAATCTTTCAAGGACATGATGAAAAGGCAATCTATAATTGGTGACGTCAGGTATGTATATAGTTTTCTATTACTTTGCAATTTTAAAGTCTAAAAAAAGTCTAAAAATGATTACTTTTATACTTGTTTTTTAGAGGAGAAGGTTTGTTTATCGGGATTGAATTAGTTAAAGATAAGAAAACAAAGGAGCCAGCAACTGATGAAGCGAAATATGTTATCTCTAGGTATGCTTTTTCTTCTTTATAAACACATAAACATTCTGTTTATGCAAAGTTTCCCTTTTTTTTTTTTAAAATATATTTCTTTATCTTTAGACTAAAGGAAGAATTGATAATAATGAGTACAGATGGAATATATGAAAACGTATTAAAATTCAAACCCCCTATGGTATTTAGCATAGATAATGCTAAACATTTATTAACCAACTTGGAAACGATTTTAACAGAATTATACGAGATAAAGAGCGACGATTCTATATCTTTATACGAAGAAACATCCACAGATGAAGAATTATCATCTCCAGATTTGTAGATATTGATATATTTCTCCTATATTAGGAGATTGTATATAAGTTTTATTTTATCAGATTAATAAAACACGTGTTCGTTTTTTATATATTTGATTTTTATATATTCAGCAACAAATGTGCGTTGTAATAAAAATTGTGTTTATTACGTGGAGTTTACATTATTACAGATTAAATAGCACTTTTAGTACACTTGTATACAGAATTTTCTGTCTAAATTTTATTGAAAACACTTTTTTTTATAAACATTTTTCCTTGAGATTAAGCTAAAAAATGAGTGTCAGGAGTGGGATTCGAACCCACGCCCAGAGAACTGGACTGCGACCTGAACGCAGCGCCTTAGACCGCTCGGCCATCCTGACAACTTACACATTATAATAAATTTTCTGTATTTAACATTGTATAAGACTGTGTAAATGTGAATACATTAATTAAGTACCCTGAACCATAGCCTCAGAACGAAAAGTATATTAAAAGAAAAAAATTAAAACAGGTAACAAAATAAAAATAAAATGACTGTACGATGCAATCATTAATTTAGAATAATCTATATATGTATTTATTTGTTTATCTTTGTCTAGACATAGGAAAAGGAGCAAAAGAGCCCTCTTCGCAATAGCCCTCCAATATCTTTGCACGACCCTGTTGATTAAAATATGCTGTGTTATAAAATAATAAAACTTCTGCGCCAAATATACGGTACTTTGAGAGATTTATAAAGCACAAAATATACCATTTTTAAAGTTATTTTCGCAGCTTAAATATTTTATTTTTATATAAAATCGTTTAGTGATAACAGATGGCGCCACTTGTATTTGCGAAGAAATACAGTACAGTACTATTTTCCTCCCTCTTGGTTAACCGCTCTTCATAGAAAATGCTTGAACAACGTTTTCTTTTTTTTCTTTTCTTTATGTGAAAGTTGTAATTTTATGACTTTAAGGGTAAATAAGTAAAAAATAAGACTATACACGTAAATGAGAAATAACACTAAAAACAATTAAAGAATATAACTGTTAACATATGCATAAAGTCAAGACACGATACGTGATGATCGCGGCAGTCGCCATTTTGAGTCTTTTTCGGTGTGTACGGTGTTTCTAGAGCGAAGCTGATTGTTTCTTTCGGTCTCAATTAGTGGGATTTCTTGTTATATATATAAATGGTTTATTATTTAGCACCGAATTGTAAAAACTTCGAAAGACAAAGGTATAAGATTGTTTCGTTTTCCATCTGATAAAACGACAAGGGTGATGGTTTAAGAATTAATAAATGATTACTTGCTTAGAAGACTACAGAAATAATTTTCCTCTTCTAGTTGACGTTTTTCTTTAGCAGAAACAATAGCCATACAAGATTGCTCGAATATATGCAATAAGAAAAATTTGACTGAAATTTGTAACTATTTTATAATTATTATTGCTTTTAGAAATTCATATTTTGATACAAACAATGCTATTTGCTGCATATAAAAATATACATATTAAAAGAAATCCAACTAATTGAGATCGAAAAAAAACAAACAATCAGCTTGGCTCTAGAAACACCGTACACATCGAAAAAGACTCAAAATGGCGATTGCCGCAATCATCACGGTATGGTGTCTTGACCTTGTGTTTATAAACTTAGGTTCCTAGCCACATTCAGTGACGCCCTTTGTTATGATATTTTGTTTGAAAAACTTTATATTTTTAACTATTTTAAAATGGCAAAAAGCTTAATTTTGAGGATAGGGATGGCTTTTATTAAAAAAAAATTGTAAATGTTAATAATGAGTAAAATCGTCACTAAATCCGACTCTCTTTATCTCCTCAACCTCTCGACCTTTAATTAATTGCTTCACATTTTAGCTGTTTTAAAAGTTGAAAAGGTTTTCTAAATGGTAACATCTTATGGACAAAGGTTCTAAAAGGCTAAAATTTTCATTTGAGTTTGAAGAACAAATACTAAAAATATTCTTGTGATACGTGTAAAACATTTTCGTATTAAAAAAACAACTGCGACGGCCGGGAATCGAACCCGGGTCAACTGCTTGGAAGGCAGCTATGCTAACCACTATACCACCGTCGCATATAATTACATTTTCCTTATATTACATATTGTATCTTTATATGTAATTAAGTAGGTCAAAGGTAATATCAGTTTATTGAAGTTTTTAATAGAAAAAAACCGAAAATAATTGTCATTCGTCTGATATAGTATGACGTACAGAGCACACTACTAATTTCAAATAGAGAGCATATATTTTAAATTAAATAAATTAAGATTATGATTAAAAATTGCCATCTGGCATTGCGACATTACCATAAATAATTGCTCGTTTGTTTTATTTTCGTATGTCAACACAAGTCATCAAATTTTCAATTGGATGACCGAGTTTCAGCTTACCGCTCCAGAGGTCCGGGATTGAATCCCTGTAGTCGAAAAATCCCAGGAATTTTTGATGGTTGATCCATTCCAGATGTGTTAGGTCCTGAATCTCATTACCTGGCAGTGGCGTATTTTCTAAAATATAAATACATATTGCTCGATTATTTTCATATTTTAAAGTACTTTGAATTACTTAAAGTTAATATTTTATTATAACCGCATTATGTATTTTATTATAAATTTCTATACACGTGAAAAACAATGATAAGATTGCTATTATATATTCGAATATAAATTCGTATACGCATATTCCCAATGGAAACACAGCTTCTTTATCATCAATTGTCATCGCACGCCACTGCTACCTGGTCGCCTGCAATGAATCTGAGCCGATCACCAAGGCAGTACATTACTGCATGGCTATCTTGGCAACATTTCTGGGGTGTACCGCTCACAATGCAGTTAATAATACAATATAATAACATTTTCGCAATCTCTTCTTTCAAGCGACGGTGGTATAGTGGTTAGCATAGCTGCCTTCCAAGCAG